AAATTTAAAAAAATATATATATAAATTTAAATTTTTAGACATAACTCCGTGAAAAAAGCATACGGAAAGCATTGTTAAACCAAATCTGCTGGTTCTTCGCATTCCCAACTCACCTGAAAAGCGTAAAGTCAAAATTAAGAGTGAGAAATGATTTTATTGTTACATATTAATGGTACATTTAATATTTTTGAATATTTTTTCCGCTTATAGAAAAGTACTCTACAATTTCTTATATTTTTGTTGGATTTGTTTCCAGGTCCTTCCTAAATTAGAGAACCTGACATTAAGAAGTGATGAGTTGGCAATGATATTTGATGAGCAATTTCCAAGGGACCTCTTTTGCAATGTTAAAGTTCTTCATCTTCCTACTTATAGAGATAAATCACCTATGTTTTCAATTCGCTTCCTTCAATGTTTCCGCAAGCTGGAAAAGCTTCATGTAGCTCGTGCTGATTTGGAGGAGTTATTCCCTTCTGAAGGAGACGCTGATGGTCAAGAGAAATGTGTGGGAACACAGTTACATATTAGAGAGTTGAATTTGGAATCATGTGATAATCTGAGGCATATATGTAACCAAGACTCAAGAGCAGCTGACCTAATTCTTCAAAATCTTAAAATTCTGAAAGTGAAGTTCTGTTCTGGCTTGATTAGCTTAACAGCATCTACGGTACCTTTCCGCAATCTCACCACTTTGGATGTATGTGGTTGCTCAGGGTTAAGAAACTTGGTTTCATTCTCAACAGCTCAAAGCCTGGTTCAACTTGAAACAATGCGCATAGATTATTGCGACTCGCTGACTGAAGTAGTTGGAGACGAAAGAGATGGCTTAGAAGATGAGATCATTTTTATGAAATTGAAAGTTTTGAAACTCATATTGTTAACAAAGCTCACAAGCTTCTGTTCAAGACTTAATTTTGCCTTCAATTTCCCATGTTTAGAACACTTGGTTGTGAATCGCTGTCCCAACATGGAGACCTTCTGTAAGGGAGTCCTAAAGACTCCAATGCTGCAGAGAATATCACTGAATGACTACGATGAGGGGCGTTATTCTCTGCATGACTACGATAAGGGGCGTCTGGTGGGTGAATTGAATAGCACCATAAATCAATTGTATGAAGAAATGGTATGGATTCAACTATAAAATTAGAAATGTTTTTATCTTGCAAGCCCTTTATTAATCATATCATCAAATGCAAATTGAAAGTCATTAATTCTTTTTTTTTTAGTTGTATTTTTGTGCTATAACTAGAAATGTTTTGCATTGAAGGTTGGATACGCTTGGTTAAGCCATTTGAAACTCTCGGAGCTTCCTAAATTGATGGAAATATGGAACAAGAACCCTCAAGATATATTGAATTTCCAAATCATTTATTTGCTGGAAATTTGTAACTGTGATAGCTTTAGATACCTCTTAACTCCACCCATGGTGTTGAGTCTTTCTCAACTCAAGGAATTGAGGGTACACAACTGTGAAATGATAGAGCAAATCATCACAGAAGAGGAAGAGGTACCAGAAAATAAAATGATATTCTACCAGCTATGGTCCCTTACCCTGAAGTCTTGTCCCAACTTGACAAGTTTTATTGTGGGAAGTTATAAACTTCAGTTTCCATCATTGTCTTCTATCGACATGGATAATTGTCCAAAGATGGTATCATTTTCAACATTTTCAATAATGCAAGAGAAAGAGACAACTATTGGAGGAAGTGAAGAAAGGCTTGATATCCCTACTGAACCATTTTTCAGTGATCAGGTCAGCTTTTTTGTGAAGAATTTTTCTTTTTACAAATTTTTCTGGATTCCTGTTGCACTTTCATTGAGTAGTTGCAACTTGGATTGTTGGTACTTTTATTATCTGCATAAATATAAATACCATATATAGAGCGTGGTGCATATCATTTCTGATTTCAAGAAAAGATTGGAGTCTCATTTTAAATAATATCATTTCATTTAATTAAAATTTAATTTAAAATTCAAAAATTCATCTTATTAATTAATATTTTATAAGGTAAATTTCTAAATTTTTAAAGAAGGTATCAACATTTATAAGGTGTTAGGACACCAATTTTTTTTAAGAGTTCAAATATAGAGAACCAACTTGAAATGTATTAATTTGTAAATACTATATATAGAGACTAATGTATTAATTTGTAATAATTATCTATAATTAAGTTCAAACATTGATGGGAGAATTAACAGTTTGTTTTGGATTGAAGTATTTGGAGAGTGAGGGAAAAATGTTTCCCCCCCTTCTTTAGATTTCTTCTTTAATGGAGGGGAGGGCGATAGAGGGGTAATGGAGTCCCCTTCAATCCTTTATTTTCCATCCCTTCAAATTGGAGGAATTGCAATGGATTTAGTTTGGAAAATGATTTAGAGATAATTTTTTTTATATCATTTTTTATATAAACTTACGTATCAATTAAATGATTTGTTCTTTTTATTTATTTAAAATCTGTGATATTATGTACATCCATTCATTTAATGACATGTGAAAGTTGTATAAAAATATTATCTCTATAGCACCACTCATTTAGTTTATACATTTATTTATTGTTATTTTTTTAAAAAATAAATATGCAAGAATATTTTATTTCAATTATTTTTTAAATTTGTAAATAAGCTTCTGATTACTAAGCAATTGTCAGATTTTTCTTCATTATTTTCACGCATCTTGTCTTCAAATATGTTAAGTTATTAATGCAATAAAATGAACTTTTTAGGTGGGATTCCCTAATTTATGGAGGCTTGAAATTCGGGGGATGAGGAGCTTGATCAGGATATGGGATGAACAACTTGATGAAGATTCCTTCCACAAACTATTCCATCTATGTGTAGAACATTGTGAAAAACTAGTGAATATTTTTCCAGTTAATATGGTTGGGAGGCTACAAAACCTAGGCTGGCTGCTGATAAGTGATTGTGTTTCGCTAGAAGAAATATTTGAACCTCAAGGACTAGATGCTGATGAATCAGAAGCACAAATAACTGCTCAATCAGCTTTGGTGGAAACAACTCCTAATGTTGTCTTTCCAAAAGTACGAGTTTTGGAACTTCAGTGGCTACCCAATCTCAAGAGTTTCTACACTCAAATACATACTACAGAATGGCCATCATTGAAAAAATTGAATGTGAGTGGATGTGATAAATTGCAGATACTAGCTTCAGAACTTCCGAGAATAAGTGAAGAGAACCAACTTGAAATCCAAATTGAACATCCTCTGTTCTGGGTCAGTAAGGTATAAACATTTATGACATTTTAAATTAAATATCTTTTACTAACGTATATTTAAAAGTTGGACGGAAAAGTGGAAAGCTATGAGAATTTACTCAATAGCATTAGGGTTTTCGAATCTCAATTTTGCCAAATGAGCAGACGATTTACTTTAGATACATATTTCATCCTTCTAGGTGTGCTTCAATTTTTTGTTAATTTTCAGGCTACATTCCCCAATCTAGAAGAACTGATAGTGGAGCGGAATGATAGCCTGAAGGAGATATGGCACGATGATGATGATGTCAAGAATGACATTATTTTTACCAAACTGAAGTCTTTGCAACTTAAATGTCTTTCAAGACTAGCAAGCTTCTGCTTAGGGAATTGCTGCTTTGAATTCTCGTCTTTGGAAGATGTAATTGTGGTGGGGTGTCCAAATATGATGACTTTCTCTAGGGGAGAAGTAAGTACACCTAACCTGCAGAAAGTAAAATTCACAGAAGATGAAGGTGTAGAATGTTGGGAAGGTGGCCTTAACCCCACAATACAACAATTGTTTGCGGAAAAGGTATCCAGTAATTCAAAAGATACACTTATGTTTTTCATTGTTAAAGCTTTGCTTCCTTCCACTTGATTGTCCTATTGCAGACATGATCAAATAAACATGGTAAGATGATAACAGTAAACCTCACTGATAATTTTTAGTTTGAAAACTTTTTCCTGCAAGGCTGTGCCACAAGTGCTGATGACAACTCACTAAAGAAGACTCATGACTAAACTTATCCTTTACAAAAGCTTGGGTTAGGTTGATAGCCCTTTGTTAGTCATGTCATAAAATGCAAGCTAGAAGCTATTGTTTTCGTTTTTTGTTTTTTCATTTTTCCCTCTACGAATTTATTTGGATTTCTTGTGTAATAAGTAGCAATATATTGAATTTTGTAGGTTGGATATGCTGTGGTAGAGCATCTGACACTCTTACAGTTTCTTGAGTTGATGGGAATAAGGAGCAAGAAACCTCAAGAGATCTTGAATTTCAGATGGCTTTGCTCTCTAGAAATTTGTAATTGTGGTAACTTGAGATACTTGTTAACTCTTTCTATGGCATTGAGCCTTGTTTCTCTCAAAAAGATGACAGTACAAAACTGTGAATTGCTGGAGCAAGTCATCTCAGAAGAAGGGGCCAACTTGAAGGACGGCATTGTTTTCACCAAACTGAAGTCTTTGGAACTTAAAGGTTTACCGAGACTTGAAGGCTTCTGTTCGGGCAATTGCAACTTTGAATTCACATCTTTGGAAGATGTAATTGTGATGGCATGTCCATATATGATGACTTTCTCTGGGGGAGAAGTAAGTACACCAAAACTGCATAAAGTGAAATTAACAGGAGATGATGAAGATGAAGGATGTTGGGAAGGTGGTCTTAACCCTACAATACAGGTTTTGTTCACAAAAAAGGTATTCATTTGCTCAAAGGATTTCCTTTTGTTTTTCATATTTTATAGCTCTCTTGCGATCAAATCAAATAAGGTGCAAGGTTATGGTAACTTCATAAATTTTAATTTTGAAGATTTCTTGCAATTGTTGCTTTCCTCCTTTAAAATGCGTTCCTTATGACCTGCAGAGTGTTGTTGACTCTAAAGAAGACTGAAATTTATGCTTTATAAAAGCTGGTGTTGGTTTGATCTTCAATATGGTGAGTGAATTCTCTTATTCCATCAACTTTACTCTTTTGATATTTCCCATAAAGACACATCTCTTATACAATCTCTACATGTTTTTGATATCTTCTTACTGCCAGGTCATGTGGCTCTGGGTTTTAGTGACTGCAAGCTGCAAGCTGCAAATTTTCTTAGCACCTATAATATTATTTAGATTTCTGAAACTAGCCTTCAGAGTTTTTGAACTCCTTGTGTGACTTTGTCTTGTTAGTATTTAATTTCGTGTCCTGGTTTGGTATTGTGGTGTTAAGGACAATATTTAAATCTTGTGTTATCAGAATATATGTATCTTAATACAGAAAATGTGGTGTCTAAACTTTGGTATTGTAGCCTCTAGACATTTTTCTTTTCTTTTGCTGGCTTGGTTTTGAACATGATGTTGCAACAAGATTTCATATGAATCGAGCTATATACATTGTCTTATTAACCTTAGTTGTAGTTTCTTGACTTTCGCAAATCCTGATGCTGTTTGGGTTCTACTGGTAAGGATTATGAATTTCTATTGTGGAAATTTTACAGAAAGCAATTCAGACTGTTACAAAAAGGAGAGCAACGCTAAGGTTTGACTAGGTTAGTGGTTTGACAATAAAAACACATCATAATTTTTTCAGTGGATATTTATTTTTTAATAAATAGTTTGATTCTTATCTTGACAAACTATTACAGAAATAAAAAGTGCCTTACAATCACATTTTCTTTTATTAATTGCCAAAATT